TAGCATACAGGACGATTCAATTTTGCCACGTACAGATTAAGCAGAAATACTTTTGTCGAAAATTCAAAATATATTGTTTTAAAGTAAAAATATCGAGATAATTTTCAATATCTATATCTCTAATTTCGACTCTTATATTCTTCGGTTAATTTTACAAAATTTCATAACTTGAACAATTACCAAGATATCATATTTAAAAATCTACTTCAACAAAGATTTGATGTATGGGAGCCAGTTATTGTGTAACAGGAAAATTTTACTTCATTCTTCGGATGCTAGATAAAATAGGGGTCATTAAAATTTTTTGCTAAAGCAAGCCTTGTTCCGGATTCGCGCAAAGATATGTACGTATATATCGCTACTGCTTCTTCTGGATAACCTTGTATAAATGCTACTTGCCCGTATTTGCTTACCCGCGCGCGCGTTCGTAGCTCCATTCATTCGGAGCGATTAAACGTAATGAGCACCATTATTGAGGAAGAACGTGCGAGAAACGAAGAGACAAAGAAACGACCAAAGTTGGACGGACAACGCTGCCTTTCAGGCACTATCCGCGACGTTAATAGCATCCAGAATTAAATGTGGCACGGCCCTACTTGTCGCGACTCGCATACACGATTGCACAATTTACGGATCACAGTGTGTATATCTGTATATATGTGTATGTGTGTGTGTGTGTGTGTGCCTGTCTCTGAAAACGAATCGACCGTTGAGCGCGCCTCGAGAATATTCAGACGATATGGCGGCAGGCCGCTCCCCGTGGCTGTTATCTTTTTGCCACCTGCTATCTAATCGTGCATTCCACGTATGCGTGCGTATATTCGCTCGACCGAACCTAAAAAGCGATAAAGAATAGCGCGCGTTAGTGCATAAGGTGAAAATTAACAATTTTAGTCGCAAAACGGTTCTCCATGCAAATCACGTGCTATTATACGAATAGCAGTAATTGGATTCGAGACAGATTCTTTTCTTTAGTGATGAATCTAATTGTAGATATTTCTTTTTGGCGAATTTACTCTGAATTTGACATTGAATTAAATTATAAAATATATTGCATCAATTATAATTGACAGAATACAAAAATATCTCAAGTCCCTTCTAATGCTAATAGCAAGCAAGGAAATAACTGCTTTAATAATATATGACTATGAATATTGATAGGCTATTTATATAGGCATTTTTGCAGCAATAAAGATTAATGACAACTGTTATAAGAAATTTTTACGCTTGCTCCAATGTTATTAGTTAGTATTCATAACATATTTAAATGAGCGACTGCGAATACTTTTATGATTTTAAAGAGGATTTTAAATCGCCATAAAAAGAATATACATTATTTAACGCACAATTTTTCTCGTCAGCATAAAATATTTCATGCAAATTTTTGCATTAAACTTTCCATTGAAGTAAATTTTACGACGATAATACTAACCGTTAGTGAAAAAAGCGTCATTCATCAGTCATGAAATCTAAAATTCCATTTGATAATATATCCTCGCAAAAAGCATTATGCTTTATCTCCGCTAATCTTTGTCTTCACTTATAATCTAAGATTATCGCGGAAGGAAAGATAACGACGAAGTTTATTGCGGAAGAGTGGTAAATCTACGGGTATATATATATATATATATATATATATATATATATGAAGCGATGACTGATATATATATATATATGCGCACACACAGACACATATTTTTTTCTTCCTCTTTCCCCGTTTTATCTAATCGCTAGACCGCGCGTGCGTGTATAGGTGCCATCAGACAATAGGGCACCATCGTCGACAACAGGCGCGAATGAACGGTCTCGTTCAATTTTTTACATAATTCTCGTTGCCTCTCACGTCTGATTTATCGACAATGTCGATTGGTATTTTCTCGCTCCCCGCGCGTTGAATAATTGTCGCTATTAATAACTGCGAATTCAATTCTCCAGTTCAATATCTGGGAAGACGAGACGGGCCGCGCCTCCTCCTTCTTTCTCGCGTTCATTTAATCGCGCCTTGCTTCGAGAACGCGCACGAGAGACGGAATATTCTAAAATCCATAAACCTTCCCCCTCCCCACCCCCCGTCCCACCCTTCGAGTGCTGATCGGCGATAAGAGACTTATTACCCGTCGTAAATTACAACCGATTCCTTATCGCACCGTGTGGCGTTACAAATTATCGGCTTTGTATCGGGAGATCAGCAGTCGGAAAGCGCAGGCGGGAGATCGATCGACGATCCCGTGCATGTATTCATTTGGATCGATTGTAGCGGGATGAAAAGAGCCCTAATGCGCGCGATTAACCTCTGCGTTACAATAAGATTTTCAGAGTGCATTTTAGATGTGGAAGAAAATAATCCGCGAGTCCAAATATCCACAAAGAGATTCGCAATGGCTTGTCGATAATTTTCTTAAATATCAGCTTCGACATTTTTTATCTATTCTGTTATAAAGTTAATTCAGCGTGTGTAAACTCTATCTTACAGTATTCTAATAGCACGTAGAGATCAAAATGCACGACAATTCTGTTTATCTAACAGAATGAGAATAATTTTTCTCGAAATTGCAATGACTAATAATGACGTCATTATTATCGCGCCATCATGCATTGTCAACATTTCTTATTTGATATTATAATAATAAAGCTATTAGCTCCAATGTAAAGATAAGAGAGATAAGCAATATTGAATTAGCTATACGTTTAAACTTCACTTATCTAACAGAATCGAGATCAACTAAGGAGAATTGTACAATTTCTCGACAGAACCGATACGCGCATTGATACAAATAGCTATAATAATGATAGAGCTTCAGATTTCACCAGGATAGTCGCGGTAACTTTGGTCGGTTATCCGAAGGTGTGAGATAAGTGAAGCGGAGTTTATCAGCCGACGATTCCGCTCCGCGCGAACGCGCTCGTTACGCGCGAGCACGGAAACTCGATTATGCAACGGTTCGTTACCTTGATACTGTCGTAGCAGGCAGTGACCCGTCCGTTCTGCACCTCGACGTTAGCCGGTGGATGAGCGAACTTGCACTCCGTGTCGGGCCTGGTGCACTTGTTGCGCTGGAACTCCCGACAGACTTCCAGTTGCAGCCACCGCGAGTCCTTGCCGTTCAGTAGGTTATTCATGTTGACCATTGCCATTCTTCCACACTCCTGGAAGACCGAAGAATCCCCCGTTCGTGCGCTGGCCTCTACCGTTAGAGGGAGAAAGTCCCGGGACTCTCCACCACCGAATTCACCACCGATAACTCTCCTCTCTCTCTCTCTCTCTTGCTTATTCTTCTTCTTTAATTTTAAATATACTATCCTTTTTGCCTTCGCTCTTTCTTTCTCTCTTTCTCTCTCTGGCTTAAAATTAAATAAAATAGATAATATTAATAATTTTCAATAACATTTCTTAATAATATTTAACAATATATTTAATAATACTAAACAATATTATTACCTGATATTATATTTATTCTCCACCTTTTTTCCTTTTATCTCCCTGCCTCTTTTTTGCTTATACTTTTTCTTCTTTAATTTTAACTCTCTCTTTCTCTCTCCTTTTCTCATTATAGATTT